AGAGAGAGAGAGAGAGAGAATAGATACCTGATATATTCTAGAAGAATCCAAACAATCATTTTTGGTTCAATCGTGTTTTCAGGAAATTTTGATAAAATATAACTATATACATCGCTTTGATTTAATAACAATTTATATTTATAATTTTCTATTACCATGCTTTGATTTTTCACAGTATTTTGCAATGGGGTACCCATCTATATGACCATTATATATAATCAATGAAAATCATTAACTAAATTAATTAAAAAATATTATTAAAACAATTCAAAAGAAATTTACACGATCACCTGATTTTGTATTTCATCTTCAAGATAATTCCTATACACAGAATTCAGTTTGTCAAATATAATCGGCATATCCATTAAACTAATAGGTAATTGCATCATAAAATTTTGTAACACGTGTATCAATATGTATTTCGTGTTTGTTCGTTGCATTAAAAATTCAACTAATAAAACTTTATCCGTGATGAGTTTTACTAAGGATTCCAATTTTAATTCAATGTACCTGTATAGTAAGATAAAATTGTTAAAAATACAGTAAATTTTATAAATTTCATTTTACTATCTATATAAAAAGAAAAAATTTAATGATATAATAGAAATGGACTTTACCTACCAAAGACAACCTAATTTTGCATCGATTATTATGTTTGGTTGGAAAACAACCCAATTTGGTGAATCTATTGATTGAATACATTGAGAAAAAATATAAGATAATAAAAAAATTAGAAATATTCTATCACAATGCACATTTTCTCTTAATTAAGGATACACAGTTGGCACGATTGATAAGTTTCATTTGATAAAGTTGTTCCTGGAACTTTCAAGCTATATGGTTTAATAGGTTTTGCAGGTGCTACGCTAGTATGATGCATTACCGTACCGTCGCTTATACCCGGTAACATGATATCGAAAATCATGGAAGTCTAAAAAAAAAAAATATGCAGAAGATTGAAATGTTGCAGTTATTAACATTGTCGTCGTTATTTCAAAAATTTTATCGTTTACTCGAAAATATATATTATTTGACTTACTTTTGTAGTTTGATGATGAACGATAATAAGATTATCTACAACATTAATGGCAAATTTACCACTTACATCAAGTTTTAAAATATGACTCTTTCTGATTGTTGTCATTCTACTTAAAAATATAAAAAAAAATATATATAAAATGTAATAGATATATACAAATAAGTTTCAATTGAAAAAAACATACTTATGTACAGTGTACACATATACAGAAGCAGTTCCAGTAGAACGATTAGCACCTGGTTGATGACGTAACAAAATTATGCATGGTGTTCCATATAAAACTGCCAGTGCTACATCTCTCTCATAAACAGTTAATTTTCCTGGTTTTGCTGTACCAGCTTCCACTAAAATAATTTTAATATATTATTAATATTATTAATATTTGTATTTTATATTAATAAAATATTCTTTCGCATATTGATCTTGATCATAAAATCTTTTCTTGCCTTCAAATTTTGTTAATTTGTGAAGATTTCCAGGTGTTACATGCAATGTCTGCATTTGATTTCCTATTGTACCAGATGATAATAATACTAAATAACTTTGTGGACAAAATACAAACCAATTTACACCTAAGCTTAAACACTTCAAAACTTTAACATTTCGTTTTTCTGGATTTACCTAAAATTAATATTTTTATATTTTTTTATTTATGTACATCCAAATTATGTTCACGTTGTTAATATTAATCGCGTATTATATATATTATTTTTAGTTTATTTAAGCTTTTCTTTTTTTACTTGAAACAATTCAACACCATAATCAGTAACGAGTAATATTTCATTTCCATGTGTCCAAACAAATCCCAGTATAGTGGCATTTTTTCCTTTACACGACTGTGAATATTCTATGTTATCAAGTCCAACAACCGGTGAATAATTTATAAATTCAACTGAAGAATTATTGTGTTGTATCGCCAATATATTCATATCAGGAGAAAATTTAATAGAGATTACTGGACCTTTATCTTCCATTCGGAAATTTATATTTTGATTTGGTCCTTTGACAGATACACCTGTCACACCGCCTGATCGAACGGCAAATACCTGGATTTTTAATAAATTTCATTTATCAGTTAAATTATATTGAAAAATAAACGAGAAAAATTAATTTCTAACCTGTTGTTTGGAATCATCAAAAAAAACATTTGTCAAAGAACTGACCGATTCAAATTTAATTGGATCGGACGATAATTCTAAATAATAATCATCGTAAGCATCTTCATTAATAGTTTCCATGTTATAATAATATAATTAAAAATATTCTAATTTTTTGCTATCTTTGACAGATATGTCAAATATATACTGGTTCTTGAATAGGTACATTTAAATGAGAATTACTATTCTTTAATAAAAACTCTTATTCGATAATACTTATATCTAGTGATAATAAATAGAGAACTTCTTTTTATTGTTTTCAAGTTTGTTACATTTTTTTCAATGATGGCAACAATTTATTCAAATCTATAATTTATTTTATAATATTCGTTTGAGAAGACAAATTGTCTAATTCACAATAAATAAAACTATGAATTTGAATTTGAATTATTAAAAAACATAAAAAATAAAATAATTTATAAAAAAAGTATATATACATATACTTATACAATGTATATATATATATATAATTCATATTTCACATTAATATATTTAAATATTACTGAGATTATTAAAATTAAAATGGTTTTTATATCATTTAATATCATTTAAATAATATTGTAAAAAAATGGAAAAAAATATCTTTTTATATCTTAAATAAAATTAAAAATTTAAAGTTTGATCACGCTATATCATAAACAAATGAATATATATCATTTTTCATTTGTGATTATATTCATAAGTATCTAGATATATATTTATTTATATATTATATATTATCGTACATAATTATTAAAAAGATTGTATAAATTTAAATCAATTTATTCATTTCGAAAAATGTTAATTCTGCGTTTAAATTTTTATTATAATGCTAAAATAGAATTTTTTTAATACTTATAAAAATGATATTTGTCAAATTAAATATCTTACATGGAAAGTTGGTCACGATTAAATCGCATCTAGGGATTTTTTATCATTAATACCTGAAATTAGTTGAGCTATATTCTCCAGTCGCCATAAGTTCCGATGAGTTTCGACGTTTTCGTGCCAAGTTTTGTTTAGTTGTTGTATAATAAGAAAAGGTTCTCGTGAAATTTCACATCACAAAAGTGTTTTGCTGCTTCCTGAATATTTAGCCGTGAGTACTATCTTATGATTTCATCTACACATATTGATATCCATGATATTCTTAAACTTTTACAACAAATTTTGAGTATCTTGAACGAGTTGATCGGAATAATGCGATTATGTATGTATATAAAAAATGTGCAATTCATATATAATTATGAAAAAGAAATATATTTATTACGCTTATCATATTATTATAAATACAATTTTAAAAAGATACATCTTTAAATAAATTAAAATTAATAAATTGATGATAATCATGGCGATCTTATTTATCAAATGCTTGTCAGAGTATATTCCTAAAATTCGTAAACTTTTGTATTTAATAAAAGTGTTGTAAATTTTTTATCCATATTTATGGTATATTTGAAAAAAAGATCATTTGGTCTCTGTTTTCTATATTATATTATTATATTACGTCAAATTAATGCATTTTATTTGATCCAATTTGATTTCTCACAAATGTATTGGATGTTCTTTTCCTTTATGTACAATCTATATAGCGCAATATTTTTATAGTCTATTTTTATATTATATGGCAAAAAAATATATAACTTATGTTTTGATCATTGTATTTTATTTTATAAATTATAATAAATATCACAATATATATACTTTTTAATGATTTTAGATTATTTCTGATAATTACAATTTTAATGTATGTTAAATGGACATTTGTCTATTTTATCTTCTGTATTTTATTAGACATAATGTCTTTGTATATAATAATATTATTTATATCCTTTTATAATAATAAATTCTAATATTTGTAAGTATATATATATATATAAAGATTAATAATATTATATATATTTAAAATATATTTCATATATTCTTTAAGAAACTATTACAATGTTGTTTGGTAACAACAATTCTAATTATATATAATAACTTTATGTCAAGATAAATTTTATTTTAATTGTATAAAAATTCTCATTTTTGCTCTTTATATTATTATTTATATTATTATTTACATTATATATATTTATTGATAAATATGATATAATTTTAAGAATATACATAATTATTTTGTTTAATTTCAGCTTCCAAAAAAAAAAAATTTATTGCTAATGAGTTATTATTTTTGAAAAAAATTTATGTGCACTTAATTTTAATATAAATCTATATCTTTTTCAAGAATCTTATTTTTTATATTTATAATTTATTACTTATCTCTTTTGTTTTTAGAAAAAAAAATCTTGTATGGATGAACTATTTTTTTTGCATTATTCGATATTTTATTAATTTTTGCATATTATTTTATATGTAACAGTTCTAAATATATAATGATTCTTAATTCCTTTATAAGATATTTCTTGTATATATATTTCTATATGTTAAAAATATATATTATGATTTTATGCTATACCGATATGTGTACATGTACGCATGCACATACATACAACGCGCGCGTGCGTACACACATGTATACATAAAATGTACATATATACATATATTTTTAATATAAATTTATAGTATTTATAATATTCATATATTATATATAATATATATATAAAATATATAATATATTGAAAATATATAAGTACGTTAATTTATAACTAAATAATAACTAATAATCATGAATTTCTCATTTTTTTATGTTTTAATGATGCCTATTATATTTATAATATTTTTAATCTTTCACATTTATGTTGTAATTTAATGTTGCGATTTAAATAATTAAAATTAATGAAGTTTAATAATAATAATTATGTTGTAATGATTTATTAAATAGATTGATACTTTGTTCAATTAAATATATTTTTATGATAACATTTGTATACACAAATATTGGCAAATGTATGCTCATTATTTGTGCTGAATATATTTTTATATTATTTTATTTGCTTATAAATATTGTGGTAAATTGTATTTGTATTTTTCTCTACAATTATTTTATGACAGTTTAGATTTCTTTAATCATAAATGTTATATAAATATAACAAATAAAATAGATTATAAGAACTTAATTAAAGTATAAGAAATTATTTTATTACTGTAGTAACTGATTTAAAGAAATTTCAGGTGATTTTTACTCTCTCTTTCACACATACATACACGCGACACACACGCGCGCACGCGACATACACACACACACACAGCAATTTTTAATAATAATTTTATGGAATATTAAAATTTTTTACTTATAAGTATATAATTGGTTTATATATTATATCTAGAAAAAGGAATATGAATAATCGAATAGAGATTTTTATAATATTTTATACGCATGTATAGTGATATTCTATAACAATTTTCTTTGAATATAAAATAGCGTCCAAACGGACTGTGGCCCTTAAAACTGTTTGGAATGCGCTAGCAAGCCATTGCTAGAGTGAGAGACGGTTTAAAAATGCAAAATTGGAGTCAATGGCAATTGTCAGCTGGTGCTGTCGCTACTCCAATGCCACAACCACCAGTTGGTTATGCTGCGCCAGGAGCAGATCCTATGGCTATGATGCAAGCATATATGCAGTATTATAATCAGCCTGTAAGTATTTTATTACATATTTATTTTTATATCATACAGTAAAAAATATATAAATGAAATTTTTATCAATTAATTTATCAGATATTATAGATTAATATAATAGAATTTTTAATGGAATTTTAACATATTGAATATATACATATTTTTAACACATTTTTTTAACATATTTTTAACATATTGAAAATTAAAATTTTATTGACAAATTATTATAATATAAATTTTAATTTTTTTTAAAACGGTAAACATGTTAATTTATTTAATAAAATAATAAATATGTCATAATATATATTAGTTATAAAATATAATTGTATTATTTTATTAGGCACCTAGCGGATACACAGCAGAACAATGGGCTGCAGCTCAACAACAAAACTGGACTCAGTGGCAGCAATGGCAGCAACAATATCAACAGTGGCAGGCACAATATGGAGAGAAGGTATATAATAACAAAAAAGGAATAAAAATACAATTATAAATGATTATAATTATAAAATTTAGAAAATATTACCGAAAATAATTTTTATTAAATTATAATCAATGTAATCAATTTAAATTTTTGAGACTAAATACATTACATTGATTTTGTGTTAATTCATTTCTTCAATTTTGTTTCAGTATCAAGAACAATGAAACACATGTCAACCCAGAATATGAGCTTAGCCAATCAGATGCCTCAATTACCAATTGTACAACCCCCACCACCTCTTCCGAAAGAGGATACGAAACCACCATTACCTCCAACTACTATGAACACATATCAATTTACAAGCATGCCTCCGCCGCATCAAAATAATCTTCCATTATTTCCTGTTAAGCAAAACGCGAATACTCCAATGCAACAAACGAATATACAAAATTGCCCTCAGAATCCTCCTTTACCTCCAAATCAGCCACCATTACCTCCTGAAAATAGCAATATTAGTAAAGAAAATAATTTAAATGGTAAACGCAATAATAACATTGATAGTGAATCTAATAGTGTTAAAAAGTTGAAAGTCGAAGATGAAGAATTAACTGAAGCAGAGAAAACATTTGACGCTCAATTTAAACAGTGGGAGGAGCAATTTAATAAGTGGAAACAGCAAAATGCTAATCATCCAGATAAGGTAAGTGATCTTACAATTAACATTATATATTAATCAAAATGAATTAATGAACATAATGATGGAAATCAAGCAGTAAGTGAATTATTATTATTATGTATTTTTAATTATGTATACAAAAACTAATTATTTCATTGTAGACTCAATATAAACAATATGAAGCAAAATGGACATCTTGGCGAGAGAAGCTTATCGAAAGACGTGAACAAATGCGTAGAAAACGTGAACAACAAAAGCAAACTACTGTCAAAACAGATGTCGAAAAGAATAAAAATTTGCCTGGTGATGATAAGATATTGAATATTTTGTCTAGCACTGAAAATCAAGGATTGATTAACAATTTATTAGGAATTGGAAAAACTCTTGGTTTAACTGGAAAACAAAATAGTAATGTACCTCCACCGCCACCGCCACCGCCACCACCAGCTACAGAAACAATAACATCCAATGTTCAAACAGCGGCTACTATAACATCATCTTCTCAAACAGTTTCACAGGCATCAACTGCTCAGTTACCAGTTATGAATATGATATCTTCTAACGTAATGACTTCGTCACCTTGGAATTCTCAGCAATGGGCATCGCAATATAATACAGGAGTACCTAATTTTCCTAATTTTCAAACTATGACCGGGGTACCTCCACCTCCATTCAGTATGCCGCCAATTCAGATGCCACCCCCAAACTTTACGCAACCACCACCAAATTTTCCTGCTGTACCAAATTTTTCTCAGCCACCTCCGGGTTTTGTTAACAATGATTCACGACAGAATCATAATGTACGGCCACCGATTCCACCTATGCAAGGAAGGCCATCTCCGTTTGGTTTGAATGCTGGTAATGTTCCAGATGGGAATTCGATACATAACGAACGTCAGAATCAAGCTGGTCCTATAAATAATTTCGATTCTGCGGGCCATATAAATAATTTTAGTGTAAATGATCCTATTCGACAAAAAGGTGTACCGACAGAACGTTTCGGTTCGGATGGTATTAACGATCAACAAACTAAACAATATCGGTGCAATGATATGTTTAATCAACGAAATGAAAATTATAAATTAAACGGTGAATGTGTATCCGAAAATGATCAATTTAGAAGAGAAGATAGAAATTATCAAGAACGTGGGAACAATCAGTTTAATCAACAGAAGATGAATTTGAACAACGATAGATTTGTTTCCGGAAATGATCGGTTTGGGCCAGGAAACAATCGATTCGGTATAACTAATGATAGATTTGGATCTGGAAATGATCGATTTGGAATGCCAGATGATCGATTTGGATCTGGAGACAACAGATTCATTGCTGGAAATGATAGATTTGGAAGTGATAGGATTGGAGGACAAGGAAATGAATCTCTTAATGATCGTTTCGGATCAAACAACGATCGATTTGGTCCAAATAACGAACCTTATGGTCCTGGAAGTGATAGATTTAATAGGAATAATATAGATCGTTTTGAACAAAAAGATGTAGGAGATAATAGGCGCGATAATTTTCAAAATGCTTCAAGAGGTTTCAACAGGAATAATAATCAATTTGAATCACCACCCGATAAATTTGCTCTAGAATTGAAAAAACTTATGGAAAAAAGAAGAGCTGCAATAGATATATTCAAACCCAGTTATCTTGATTCTGATAAAAGTAGTAATGTTGGTTCATTAAGTGAAAGTTTCAAGAAAATTACAGGTGATTCTCCATTCATAAAATCTGCTGGAAATCAAAATTTTGGGCCTCGTGGACCTTCCAATTTCGGACCAAGTGGACAAGGTAACTTTAGAATGGCTGGAGATTTTAAATTTCAAGGAAATCCCGAATTTGGATCACGTGGTACTACAGGAATTGGACGCAACAACTCTTTCGATTCACGGGATGCTTCAACTGGAATAACTTCATTCAAAGGACCGAATTTTAGTCCACAGCAAGTACAAGATTTTATAAATACCGAATCAAGACCAAATATGGCGAATCTTGAAACCGATACAAATGCGAATAATGAAAATAAAACTGAATCTATCACTGTAACAGAACATAGTGATATAAATAATTCTAAATCGAGCGATCAAAACGTCGATAATACGCAAAAGGAGGATACAGAGAATCATTCGGTTCAAAAGGATATCTTATTGTTAGAAAAACCACCTTGGGTTGACTCTCAACTTTCTGAAGATAATTTGTTGCAAAAGGATAACATTAAGAAAGAAGAAATTCCATCTGGTAAATATGACTCCTCTGAACAGAATCTACAGAATACGTTTAAAGAACAAACAGAAGTAAAACAAGAATTATCTAATAAAGATGGTGATGATAATGAAAAAAAATCGGAAGTATTACCTTTTATGGGAGAAAACGATCCAAAACCGGAAGATTTAAATATGGAACCGCCACCTGAATTACCTAATTTGGGCCCTATTTCTACTTCTAACGAACTTAATAATGATTCTCTACAACGAACAGACGAATCGTACGAGACAAAGGAATCTTCTTTAAAATCGTTCCCAAACAATCCAAATCCTGAATGTTTTGATCCTAGAGGACCATTCGTTTCAACATTCGGACCAAGAGGAATGCAATTTAGACTAAATGCACCTTTCTTGAGTCCCAAAAGTCCTAATGACATTAGATTTCCTATATTTGAGCCATTTAATTCTTCTGGTCCAAATTCGTATCCATTAGGCTCCCGAGGATCTAGCGATGGACAATTTGGTCCAAGAGGTTCTAATAATGGACAATTTGCTCCTCGAGGTCCTGATGGACAATTTGGTCCTAGAGGTGGCAATGATGGAATATTTGGTTCAAAAGGTTCTAATGATGGGTTATTTGGACCTAGAGTTGATAATCAATTGGGTTTAAAACCTCCTAATAATGTACAGTTTGGTCCTAGATCTTCGAATATTGGACAATTTGGTCCGAGATACGATGGCCAGTTAGATTTAAGAAGACCTAACGATGGACAATTTGGGCTTCAAGGACTGAATAATAGGCCATTTGTTCCCGGTAGACCAAATGATCCATTATTTGATAATCGAAATCCCTGTGATTTACAGTTCACGCCTAGAGGACCTAGTGAAGGACAGATTAGATTTTCAGGACCCAATGATAGGCTTTTTGGTTCGCGACGCAATGATTCATCTTATCAACGAAGTTCAAATAATTCGAAAGCAATAAATGACGGATTATTTCCAAATAGATTTAATGAAAAACAATTTGATAATTCTACCGATGGATGTTTTGTTGTCCGATCTTCAAATGATACGTACTTGGGTCTACGAGGTCCACTTAATAATTCGAATGATAATTCTTTTCAATCTCGGGGTCAAGGTGACAGATTTTTTGATAATAGACAAATTGATGTTAGGGGAATTGAAGAAATTAGATCGAAAAGATCACTCGACAACAATTCTGATTCTAAAATTCACGGTAGTTCGGAAGTAAGTGGAGGAGGAACGTTTGATAATAATGAAAAAATATCGATCGATGAAAATATGCAGCAGGGAAAATTTGATTCTAACGATACGCAGAATCCAGGATGGAGGCAAATATATTCGAAGAATAGTTTTGGAGATATCGATCAAAGATCCGGACGAGGCTATCCTGACAAATCTTTGCTTGGTCAAAATGAAACGTTCAATCAAAATATAGGGAATAATATAGAACGACGATCTCCTTCGGGTGGAAATAAATGTAACATTCCTGATAGAAGATTAGAAAGAGGTATGACCGATATGACGGTAGGTGATTATAAGACTTTGTTAGACTCTGATTATACGAAATTGGATAATACCGATACGTATCTAAAACGATCCGTAGATAATCGACAATCTCAAATTAGATGTTCGACTGTGAAGGAATTTTATATAGAGAAGCAGTTTAATTACAATCATGGCGGGGCCGGCGGTGAAAAAAAATTTATCGAGCATATACCTGCTAAAATAATTGACTATGCTCATACTTCTCGATCATCGATTCAAGATCATTTAACTCCTGTGCAATGCTTTGATTATGGACATGGTAATTTGAAACCATTAGTGCCAGAAAATGAGGTACAACCAAAAAAAGATTTCAGAAATTGGGAAGAGAATGAGCAAAATTTGAAAGAATATACCGAGAGAATAAAGAATTACGAATATCATGCGGGTAAGACAGAATTTAACCGATTACAAGGAGATTACAAGCAAAGAAGAAATAGCGAAGAATTTATAGATGATAGAAAATTTGAAAGAGGAGAACGCAAAGAAAAAGAAGAATATAAAGGAAAAGAACGCGAAGATAGGATATTATTGATCATACAAAATCTGAGAAAGATCAAGATAATCGGTATGACAAGAATTCTACTAAAGGTAATTTGATATTAAATTTCAAGAATAATATGTTTTTATCTATTGTTACAAATATCATGGTATCAAAATTGTATATCAAAGTTGATCAAATTTGTAAGAAATTTGTATTCAAAGAAAATATATTTGTATTTATGCGTATTCAATTATTAAATTATGTAGTTAATTTTATGTTTATCATCATTTTCCTCAAATCGTAGAGAGAACGCGGGAAAGATGTGAAACTTCTCAAAAGGAAATGAATAAAGAAAATGATAAAGAAGAAGACAGGTACAGACAATGAACATATAATTTATACATTTATATATTTATATATTTAAGTATATTACTTATATATACAAACTATTATAAATTGTTATTAATATTATCTGATATTAATTTGAATTTCAATTTCGTTTGAAAATATATAATTTCTTTAGATCGAAAGGAAATATAAACTGGCAGGAGAATTCAAACAAGAACATCATAGATACAAAGCCATCAGAAACCAGGTATGTTTTATTGAAAATTCGTTAAATTTGTCTTAAATGTTTTAGCTTTTAAAATATTGTCAAATAAATGTTTTTACAATTTTTGTGTTCTTAAATTTACATTTCGAAAATTTTATCCATTTATAATAGTGTTTCTAATAAGCATCATATTTTGCATAAAGTACGAAGACTTATTTATGCAAATTCATTGTTATACACACACACACACACACACATATATATATATATTCTCTCTCTCTCTCT